TGAGTGCATCACCATCCTCACATCATGCGTACCCTACCTACGACCGCTCCTGGAGCACGTCCCATCAGGCCTCTACGGTACCGACACGATACGACACCGAGGTACGACCACAGAGCACGGCTACTCGCAGCAAAAAAGCGATTCGTATCAGCTCTCCAGCATCGCTTCGAAAGTCGGTGGCGGAACAAAACATAGTCGAAAGACCCAGGTGGAAGGTGGCGGGCTCAAACGCTTTCTACCAACGTTCTCGCACAATAGAACGACAAATGCCAATTCTGCATCAGGCATCCCTGGAGGCCCTCCGCGACCCGACGGTGAGATGGATGTTGAGATAACAGCTGTACATCACAAGCATGGGGATGAGAAGCGGTGGGATGACAAAAGATGGGAGACTGCAAGTACGGGAAGCTTTTCGAAGATTCTGAAGACCACTGTTGTTAGTGCGGAGTGGGAAGACGTAGGAGCAAAGCGTGGTGATGCTTCTAGTGATGAGATCGCTATTTTACGTTGAGATTGACTCGGTAGAGGTGCTTTTGCCGCAGCATCAAGACTTCTATACCCATTGATCTGGTGCTGAAATCTAATGAACCCAATGCTGCACGATCTTCATGATTCCTTCACCGTATCAGAAGAATTACGACACGTTTGTTGACCAGCGTCGACGTCGAAATGCCTGATTACTGTGACATCATAGGCGTGAGATTACAGTCAACACTCCGGCGACGTGGTATCCCCATGGGCTTGTGAAGCTGTGCGAACGTTTTGCAGTGCCAATCGTCTAACTGACGTACCACTTAGCTGCGAGTACCCAATCCAAATTGCTTATAGGCTAGAGAACCTTGAATGAGCATAACTTGCACGCGACGTGGGTCGAGCCCGATACCAAGTCCGGCATTCAAGTTAGCCCCACGCTTGCTTCAGTCAACAGGAAGTCGTGCGCGTTTTTGGGCTTTCGCCCCCTGTAACATGCCGCACTTAGACTTCTACTAGGAGATGTAACGAGGCATGCCTGTGGCTGCATATGTCAGCCTCTAAGAGTAGATCGAGATGCAACACGCGTGAACTGCATCTGCGCAGGTTCCCGACAATAGTACGATGTCTGAGAGTCACGCTGAGGCGTGCAGGTGATGGTAGTGGACTCTGTGCAAGGGACAGAATAGCTAGACGCCACATTGAGATTGGCCTGGTTGTGTTCTGGTAACGCATTCTCTGCTCGCATGGATCCTCTTGGACACAAAAGTACTACACGACTCGTTTGGAATGCTGGAACAGATATCGCAATGCGTCATGATAGCCGTTGAGAATGCGTGCACGGATGGAGGAGGCGGCTTCCACATGGGTAGCCGATTACTAACTAGCGTCACACAAGATGGAATGAACCCCGGAGCCACCCCTTCCGTCTTCCCTCATTCCCCAACCACCGCACCGCTCATCGTCCAATTCGTGCCACGGACAATCTGCCGGGAGGTCTATGCCTTCGACTACAACGGTATGACAGCCGTTATTGTGACCACATGCCGCATGCTCTACCCTCGATCAGCATGCCGAAGGGAGACTACGGCGGCCCAATGTTGCACGCTGAGTGACATGCAGCGACGAATGACGCTCTGAACCCCTTTTCGCGATTGAAAGCCATCATGATCTACTGCTGAGTTCTGGAGGTACGAACGCCTCTTTCATGGGCATATGCAACGCGCGACACCCCGGTGCAAACACACATCTGTCCGTTCCAGCATCGACCATGACGTTTGACAAACACGCGAAGACTGGGGAATGTTAATTTCGCCTCTGCCACACTTTATGCATACGAACAAGGGGTCTGCAGGAATGCATGTCACCGCTTTGCGCAGGTTAGGCACCCAATGGTGTGCGACCGAGGCACCAATCAACGCCCGTTTCACTGTGGGGTGCCCTCTGAAACTACGACTGCAGTGCGATACGTCGACTTGCGAGCTGCCGCCGTCACTGCAGAGAGCCTACAACTGCCTTTGCGGTGCGAAACGTTGGCTTGGTGTCTTTCACTCGGACGCTTAGTTGCATTGCCGAGCGACCGCCTCCTAGACCGACCTCACTACCGTCTTTGCCGGCGATCACCGTACTACCGCATCCACCCGTGGACATCTGCACATGGCGCACGTTACCTCTGGAAGAGATATATATCGAGATTTACTTGCATTGCATGCGTCCTGTATCACGACCCACCTTCTGGGTATCTTCTTTCCTTTTCTGGCCCACCTGCTTGCCCGACATTTGTTACTACGTACTGCGGTCGTATCCGTCTTGTTGCTCAACACGCCGCGGATTGAACAGCTGGAACCAAGGCTATCATGGAGAAGCATATCGAACTACAGAGGTTCAACCATGAGCCTCTGCGACCGAGGGGCCGGGGCTCCATTTCGGAAGGCAAAGGCCGGCAGTTCGACAACGACAGATATGAATTGGCGAAAGTGGGAAAGAAGCAGGTGCTGAAGGTATGCTCACTTTTGACAATATGTTTGCGCGGTCTGATCATGGTAGCGTCGCTTCGGACTGGTGTCTATGACCGGTCTCTCTTGCGGGTTGATGTGCACCTGGGAAACTTTGCTTGTGTAAGTGAATGTGATTGATACCACCTACTTCGCTGACGTCATGGCAGTATCTTCTCGATAGGCTTCCACAAGTAAGTACCTGATCTACACAGGAAGTCGGCAGCAACTGACGATGTGATTACAGCGGCGGACCTGCTGGCCTCATCTACGGCTTCATTCTGATTTGGCTGGGCAACTTCTCCGTCTTCGTCTGTATCGGTGAGCTTGCGAGCGCCGTTCCGACTGCTGGTGGCCAGTATCACTGGGTCTCTTTACTGGCGCCGCGCTCAAACAGGAAGTTCTTCAGTTACGTGACCGGTACGTTCGTTCACTTGCAAAGCCATCGCAATTATATTGATCATCTTAGGTTGGCTCACTGTCATCGGCTGGATCGCAGCTCTTACTTCTGTATGCTACTTTGTAGCCGATTTGATCCTGCAGTTGGTCAGTCTGAACGATCTCGAGGGCACATATGTCCGCGAAGGCTGGCACGGCACACTCCTCCTCTGGGGTATACTGCTCTTGTGTGTCTTCATCAACGTCTTTATAAGCGGAGCGCTTCCCACGATCGAAGTCGTCGTCCTCATCGTCCACATCCTTGGCTTCTTTGGCATCCTAGTGCCGCTGATCTACTTGCCATCGAGCCACAATTCGGCCAAAAAGATCTTCACGATGTTTCACAATGAAGGAGAGTGGAGTACGCAGGCTCTGGCCTTCTTTGTGGGACTACAGGGCAATGCTTTGGCATTCGTCGGAACAGACTCAGTCGTCCATGTGAGCTCAATATTCCCAATTTGTGTTTCATTGCTAACGAATTAGATGTCTGAAGAGGTAAAGAATGCCAGCACCGACGTTCCACGTTCAATGCTTCTCAGTCTCGTCATCAACGGCACATTGGCATTAGGAATGCTCTTCGCCGTTCTCTTCAGCGCCCACGATATCACAATTTTACTCAAAGACCAAGAAGCGACAACTGCGCCTTTCCTCCGCATCTTCACACAGGCTGTCGGTTCCGAGGCCGGTGCTACAGTCATGGTTGCAATCATCGTCCTACTCGAATTCTGCAGTGCAATGGGGTGCCTTGCAGCTGCATCGCGCATGACATGGTCGTTCGCCCGAGACCGCGGCCTCCCTTTCTCACGCGCTCTCAGCATGGTAAGCACACGTACCCATAAAAACACAAACCAAGAGCCTTCAACTGACACCCCACAGATCGATAAACGCAGCACCATTCCCGTCGTCTCCATCCTCGTCGTAACCGTCTTCGCCGCCCTCCTCGCCCTCATCAACATCGGCAACAGCGCCGCCTTCAACGGCACAATCTCCCTCGTCCTAGAAGGCTTCTACCTCTCCTACCTCCTCGCCATCGGCCTCCTCCTCTGGCGCCGCGTCCGCGGCGACCTAGATAACCCGGACTCCTTGCTCACCATCTTCAACGAAGCGCAAGTGGATGAAGCGTACGACCGCAGTCTGACCTGGGGTCCGTGGCGTCTCAAGGGCGCGTGGGGCGTTGCGAACAATGTTGTTGCTATTTGCTACCTTACTCTCATCATCTTCTTTAGCTTCTGGCCTAGCCAGCCCCATCCGGATCTAGTAAATATGAACTGGGCGGGTGTGGTGACGGGGGCGGTGGCCGCATTTAGTGTGGCGTACTACTTGTTGTTTGCGAAGAAGTCGTATACTGGGCCGATTGTCGAGGTGGATCCTCATGTGTTGTGATGGGGTTCGGAGTGAGGCTATTAGGTACCTGTAGGATCAGTGTGCAACGGGACGTGCGAGAGGAACGCTTCGGTCATGGCATATGGCTGGTGTTTGTGTGTAGGATATGTTAGGTGAAAAGTTCTGGGACGTAGAGGCTTACGGTTGAGCTTCAAAAAAAGCGTGGGATAGACTGAACATACCATCAATCCGACATAACCTAATAACAATATGATGTACCTTGCGATATATATCTACGAGGCCTCGAACAGCTGCCAATGCCTCTCTACACTAGCTTGGACAAACCTTTCTAAACTTCACTCACTGTACACCGATTGGAACGAAAAGTTGTAATCATAATCATTCGTTATCATACATAACTCATAGCATGATGACATTTGCCTGTATATGCGCGCCTTCCAAAGCCAAAATAGTACTCATGAGCAATAGAGCGTGAGAAAAGAAGAAGAAGAAGAAGAAGAATCCAAATAACCGGCCGTAACTCATAAGAAAACATCAAAGAGAAAAGTGCTGCACCAACAGCCCCATCTCCACCCACTTCCAGCTTCCAGACAGAAGCATCCAGATGCTCTGCCACTTTTCCCCTCCAAAATCGTGTTGAAAGTCCCAAGCTTAAGAAAGCGCCCCCATAGCCAACGCCACAATCTTAGGATTCGGTTTATCCTTTCGAACCAGAACTACCAGAAGAATCAACGAGCCGTTCAAAGAAGTGTGCTAATGGGCCGAGCGAACAAGGGCTAACCTACCCTTCCGGTCTCTGTCAACGCGCATAACCTCCTTGCGGGGCGTACGCTCAACAAACTCATACTCGCGGTCGCCCTCGCGCTCGTACTTGAGCATGCGGCGCTCCTCCTCAAGGAAGCGGATTTCGTCGCGGATCTCGCGCTCGGAGCGCCGGTCGTCGCGGCGTACGAGCTGTCGGCCTTCGGGGAGGAAGGCTGTGGCGGGGCCGTGGATGGCGGCTGAGCGGTCGATTTCGACGTAGCGCTCGTGTTCGTGGATGGAGGGGGAGGGGGCGCGCTCTGAGGGGGCGTAGAC